GAAATAAAATAATAACACCAGGGAGGTGTGAAGTTCTGTTTCTGTTCGTCTACCACCCTCAGTCTGGAGGGTGTTTGGTATTTCACACTGCAGCAAAATCACTCAGCTGTGGGCAAATCTGCAAATCCTAGGATGGCGAAGGAATGACCTGACCTGGCTAGTACTCATCACCTTCATTGGTTGGATTGTTTAGGTTTAGGCGAGAAAAGTGGGATTGGTCAGGGTAAGTCAGTCAGAGGCAGGGTTAGGTGGGCCACTCCTTCCCTTTGGAGGGTAAATGAGGCGTTTATGTGCACTAAGAAAAACCAGGTAACATGCATGCATAGTAGTAACGATTTCAGAAGCTTACTCACTTACTTAAACTGCTGTTTTGGCTTATTTTGTTGTGCTTCTAAGCCAGACTGATGGTACAGTGTGACAGACTAAGCTCAAAAATTGAACACAGTCAGATGATTCGCTTCCCTGTCTGAAGTCTTGTCAAAAGCAGATTAAACATCCAGTTACTGTGATTTTCACTAATCTCCTCAGAAATTATCTTGTTTACATCAAGTTTGACGAATCAGCTCACTGGAGACCGTCGAATGAAACTCAGTTACTTAAGTGCACGTAAACAGGAGGAGTTCAAACCTCCGACACTGCTGAAGTGTCTCTGACCAGCTGCTGCTGCTACTGACGTCCCTGAAGGACCAGAGATCAGAGCATCCGCTGAGTTCAGGGATCACCCTGTTACTGTGGCTGCTGTATGAAGACAATTTTCACCTTCCTTTAAATCATGTCGAGTGTGAAAAAAGCTGCAGATGTTGCTGAGGTGTGACAGGAGGAGGAGGAGGAGGAGGAGGAGGAGGAGGAGGAGGGCTGAGCACAGGGAGACCTGAAACAGCGTCATTTCAGAACTGATCATATCTGTACAACAAATAAACCCAAAAACAAATCTGTACAAATGTACAAAATAAAAATCAACAGGATTAAAACGACGTGAAGATTCATTTTTAAAACGTCCATCAGAGTCGCCATGGATCTGACGCTGTCTGAGACAACAACTCAACCTGGATCAAAGTCAATGTGCCAACTGTGTTAAGAGCAATCCACAGCAAACCTGAGGCCGAACCGTGACGGCGAGGTCACCTCGGCCGCAACGAGTATAAAAGGACAGCTGGTTAGTGATCATCAACATGTTAATTTCTCTAATCACTCAGAATGCGTTTAATGCAGCAACATAACAACATTAAATCTGTAAAAATCAAAAGACATAAAAAGAAAAAGATCCCTTTCTGCTCCCTGTTCTGCTGCTGATGAGGCGTTTGCTGTCACCCTGTCGAACATGCAAATCACTGCCTGCGGACAAACATAATACTCCAACTGTTTGCAGTCATAACGTAGATAAACATCTTGAGGCGCTCAGAGAAGTGACACATGTAAAGGTTGAGCTTCTGCTGTTTGTTTCCCTGTTTGACCTCAGGTTCTAGAGTAAAGGTGAAATAAGAGTCTTTAAAATGTACTCAGAGACGTCTTTTACTGTTTTATGTTACGGTGCACCTGCGAAGAGTTTCATTCCAAAATCTGCTCTTTTACCGAAGCGTTCAGCTCCTCAGGTTTGAGGCAAACCTGAGACGAAGCAACAGTGATTAACAGAGGGCTTGACAGGTCCACAAATTTGGAAATGACAAAAACTTGTGTGGAAATGGACTCAAGCCCAGTGTGCACTAATGACTTTAAGAAAAGGAGACCAGATCCAACAGGGAGGTGCAACCTGCTCGAAAACGTGGCAACAACACCAACACTGGCACTTTATGAGCAGCCATGTCCACAGTTCACACTCTTCAATGGTCTTAAGGCCCTGACACACCAAGCCGACAGTCGCCCATCTGTCAGTGTTTGAATGTGAGCGTCTGTTGCCCTAGTCCTAGTGACCCTCATCAGCCCTCACTGCCTTTATTTAGATAATTTAGTGTGCTGAATCAGCTCTGGACGAGAGCGGAGCCCATCACTGAAGAAATCAGTCTGATTGGCAGTTCAGCTCAGCACACAGGAAGATAAATGAAGTGAGGAACGTAAACAAAGAGCTAAAGTCCAGAGGGAGTGACACACAAAAGAACTTGTTCCACAAGGTCAGACTATTTTTCTTTATCCGTTGGGTTCTTCAGCAGAAACGTTTCCTGATGGTTTGTGTTATTGTTCACTGGCGCAATATAAATATACTCTGATATTTCAACATTAGATTGAGTTGTTAACATGCTAACTGGCTAACTAGCACCAAGACGGTGTTCTTGTTTCCCTTTTTGAATGACATTTACAGACTAATGCCATCTGCTGGTGTGGAGAGTTATTTCCTCTCACGCAGTCGCAGAATGTACGTGCTGGTTGGCCGTGAGACAACGCAGCAAGGGGTCTTCGTTGCTGCTAGTTCTCTGAAGTCGGTTCGGTGTGTCTGGGCCTTTAGTTTTTGAGTTTAAATAATTGGTTTCTACATTTTTATCCCTTGTGTTTATTTCTATTCTATTTACTTTAGTTGATTTTTAGCATTTTAATGTATTTTTAGTTTAATTTTATCGTTGTTTATATACATTTTTTTGTTAGAGTTTTCATTTTGTGAAGCAGTTTAGGCTGCATGTGTGTATGAAAGGTCCAAGACATGAATATAATTTGGACCAGAACTGACTATCCCAGTAATATCTCAGTCCTGGACCTGATCATTGACACTGGGATCTGAGCAGGCCTGTGATGATCTCTAATGATCGTGGGGCAACGTTCTGGAAATCTATTTCTGGGGAGGAAAAATAAAAACTTTAAGGGAAACCAGGGTGACATGACACAAATACAACAACTTAAAACTAAAATTTTTCATTTATTTAAAAGGTTTTGGCTCCCAAAATCCACCCATGCAAACTTTTAAGATTGTAATTACATTGTTTTTGAGACATGAGGAGTATAGTGTAGGCCAGGAGTGTGAGTCACTGCTGCCTCTTTAACAGGACTGAAACTCTTCACAGTCACCGGGAAGAGAAACTGATGACATGAACATCTGTGAGAGTAACTGAACCTGAAGTAGTTTGCCCATAATTCCCCCCAGGCCGCCTTTTCAGTTCCTGGTTCAGTGACGGATCACATGATTTACGTCGTACACACACACAAACACACACACTTACACACACTCGTCACATGATTTGTGGAAAGGAAAGTTCTAGTGCTGCAAAAACTAAGGAGGGAAGGACGGCTGCGTTCGCTTGTGTTGGCAGACACTGTGGAGAGAAAGTTCCTATGAGGTGACACAAGAGTTCAGAAGAGGGTGTGTTTGTTTTGTGACACAGCATGGCCCTCTGACCTCAGAGCAGCACAGGGAAGAGTCACTGACAGGAAGACGACGTGCTGACAGTTTGCAGTAAAAGCAAACCGTGTCAACTACCGAACGAGGAGGAATTCCACAGACTGTGATGCAGCACAGGATCATGTGATTACCAAAGAAAACAAAAGCCTAAGACTTCCTGGTTATTGCATTTCATTTCATTCACTGGAGCCATCGGCTACGTGTTAAAGAACCCATCTCAACTGGTGTGTAAATCCAAAATTAAACAAGACATTGAATCGCAGCTCGGGCCGAAGTGTCAAGCATCTCTCTGATCAAGCAAACTGACAGCTTTGTGGAAAAACCTCCATCCCAGAGGAAGAGGAAACTTTGAATCTTTGTCCAACTTCTACATCATGGCCTCCTCCACTACAGGAACTTAAAGGGATAGTTCGCATTTCTTGAAGTGGCGCTGTATAGGGTACTTATTCATGATCAGTGTAGTCGGCAGTCGGCACGCCCTCAGTTTGGAGAAGCAGGCTGGAGTCTGACACGAAAGATGAGTAATGTGCTGCTGTGGATGGCGGTCAGCAACAAAACAGATTTTAACCACCTGAAAAACAATCTGTATTGGTTGAAGTGTACGCTATACTGAGAGTATTTTCACTGCTTTATCTCTCCGTCAAACACCCTATTTCAACAAGCTGTAACGGCTTCAATTCCCCATCTATGCTCTCGTCAAAGCCACCAGACTCCACTGAGAAAAACAGTCATTTTAGGTGGCTGAACACAGGAGCTGCTGGTCTACTGCTGCTTTGATCAGTTAGTTTGTTTGTGTTATTGTGCGACTTTGGTGATTCCAAAGTAATCCTTTAAAATGCCAAACTCACACACTAACACAAACAAACAAACTCAACAAGGCAGTGGTAGACCAGCAGTTTGTGTGTTCAGCTATGTTAAATCAGTGTTTTTCTCAATGAGTCTGGCTTTGAAGAGAGCAACATAGCTTTATTTTCCTGTTGATAATCACTGTCTGACATGAAGGTGAAGCAGTGAAAATACTCCCAATAAAGCACACACTTAAACTGATACAGCTTTTTCTAGGTGGGACTTTTTTAGGTGGCTAAAATACTCCAAACTGGAGGCGAGCCGACTTACATGTACTGTTTATGAAACACCGCCTACAGATAAGTAGCACATACAACCCCATTTCAAAAAATCTGAACTATCCCTTCAACATTAAGCTACAATAATCCAATGAAGAATATCTGATGTGTGTTTTTGCAGCCTTGCAGCCCAGCCAGAGTTTTGGGGAGTATGTCACTAGCTGAGTTACACACTTGGGTACACTGGTATTTTAAAAAATCCTGCAACAGTTCCAGTAGTGACCCATGTTTTCCACTAAAGCTGGAGTTACACTTCAACAGAGGTCGCTTGGAGATGTTCACCAACTGCACCACACTCGCCTGCCAAACATCACAGAACAATAATGACGTTTGTCCCGATGTCGTCTTTTTAAAAAAGACGTGTATCCAAAACGCTCTGGTATGTAAAACACAGTGGAAACAAAGGGCAGGAAGTTGTTCAGGTTAAGGGAAACTCCAGATTACAGGTTGTTAAATAACATGGTGGAAAAAAATGCCTTTTAGCAGCTGAATCTGAAAACCGATGCCTCTCCTTTCAAAAACTCAAACATAGAATTTGAGAGTGGTGGCTGAGTCAAGTGTCTTTCAGGAAAAGTTCCAGGGAAAGCCCAAATTGAACTCTTCCCGTTTGTCGGCTGGTCGGTAGTCTCCCTGCTCTTCTGTTTGTAGCACACGCACACAAAACCAAACACCATCCTGGGTAATGTGTTTCAGAGTCAAACTGTCATGAAGTCCCTGTTTTTTTGCAGCCTGGATTCATTAACTAAAAAATAACCTATTTCTTACCGAAGGCTGAGCTTAATTTCCTACAAGGCACTACGTGACAGCATAGGCAAGAGGTCGAGTTAGTTTTTTGGGGGCGGTCGCTGAGAAAACTCACAGAAGTGTGTTTACAGAGACAAACACTCACTGCGAGAAAAGCTTCAGCTGATTTGTCAGAAGCAACTATATTAGGTCGACTAGAAAAGCTCTGCGTTTACAGTAATATCTTATTTATAAAAAGGGATCTTGACATTTTGCTGGAGACAAATTTACAAAATCAGGCAGAAAAATACCAAACTTCTGTTATGAAAAAAGTCCTGTTTGGTGTAATACCTGAAGGACAGAGGAGATAAAGGTTAGAGCCCAAACATTTAGTTTTCCCTGCAGAAATTACAAGCAATCACCTCGTGTAGTTCATGGACATTAAAACAAAAAGGGAAAGAGATAAAGAAGTAAAGAGGAGGAGAAAGAGGAGGGGATGTTTCTCATTAGCACCAATGCGTCTGTAGTGACTAACTGCAGCCTAACCGAGAGTCGAGAGAGAAGTGGAAGTGATGAAGAGTCAGGCTTTCTCCCAGAGTTCTCCTGGTCACCCAGTTAATTCCACATTTCATCATTTAAATCACTGTGTTCAGGAATATATTCATCCCTGCTGGAATCAGAGGAAAAAATAAAATATTTTGGTTTGAAGTGAATGAATGAATTCATCCTCCGAGGTGGGATTCATCATTGATTCGATCATCTGGGAGGAGAAAGAAACAAAAAAAGAAGTATTTCCTCCTTGACGTGGGGACGAGGCTGACCGTCGGGAGGATGTGCTCGTCTCTCAGTCACTGCTGTCGTCTTCGTCGTCATCGTCCGACAGGTTGTTGAACTTTGACCCCAGCCGGCTGATGGAGTCTGTGCGCGGCGCCAGGGCTCCTGACGTCAGCTGCACGTAGCAGTACTCGCAGACGCGAACGGGTTTGGACGACTGGCTGGGCAGGAGGTACTTCTTCTCCGAGCAGGGCCCGCAAACCACGTAGCCGCACTTCCTGCAGTGGTGGCGGCGGCTGACTGGCGTGAACTTTACCTTCTGGCAGCGCATGCACACTGTTGCCTCCGAGTCAGGCACCCACACGGCAGCATGCTCACCCGTCGGAGCCTTGCCGCTCTTTTGCAGCAAGTCTCCCACACACTTCCCTATGTGGTTCATCCACTCTGACTTCTCAGTGGCGGTGGCTGCGTAAACGGCGAAGGACTTGGTGGGTGTCTTGATGAGCCAGCCATTGCGCAGGTCGCCTTCGTCCGGCACCGTGTCGATGGTGACGCTCTCCAGCGGGATGATGTGCTGCTTGTTGTACTTCTTCTTCTGGATGACGATGTTGCCGTAGACCAGGATGTCGTTGAAGAGGAAGAACTGGCGCGCCTTGGGCTTCTTGCGGCAGAGTTTGGTGAGGACGCCCTCGCCGATCAGCACGCGGCCGGGGATGGCCAGCGGCTGGCCCGCAGCGCCGAAGCAGCCCTCGACCACTGCGATCCGCTTGGAGTTGGCCTCGCTGTTCGCAAGCCGGTCCACCATCTTCACCTCACCTGGAGGAAAACAGGGAGAGAGGAAAGTTTAAGGAAAAACATTTTTATAAACGGCTCTTATGATGTGAGAATAAAATGAATTATTTAAGTAAATATACAGAACATGAACAGCATGTTTCTTTTCACACATATTCATCACAAATTACTGCTGCGCAAAATGAAAAACGAAAGACACAAGATTCTTCTGCTGTGCTGACAGTGAAATTGAGAGCGTGACAGACTTATCATCATCAGACTTATCATGTCTATGTCGCGCTGACGTTTTTAATGAAAGAGGGAGGACTAATAGATATGCCGTAGATGAATATTAGCCTACTATTAGATGCAGAAGTATGATCTTTTGTAAGGCTTTGATGTATTTTACATGGCATACATTCAATTTTCCATTAATCATCAAACCTGGCATCAATAATTAACCAGAACATTCAGCAAAGCAGTCGAGGCTTTGAAATGACTCAAGCGGTCAGAAGTGTTAATTAAAGATTAAAAACAATTTCCATATTCTTACTGATATTTGTTCTTTTCGTGACAAACAAACACAAGATGCAATTTTTATACTTTCTACACCTATAGATGAATATAAAACCTTCAGCCACAACAGTCCCTCCCACCTCGCTCCGAGGCAGCACTTTATCTCTTCCCACCACACCTCAGTTAAACTGTCTGGATCAGTTCTTCTACTAAAATCACACATAAAGTCACTGTTCCTCTTATTTCCCCTAGTTGTATCTCACTGTCCTCCACACTGAAACTGATCAGCAAAACCACCAAAATCACTACAAGTGTCTGAGTTCAAGGATGATAACATCTTAAACCATCAAAGGCCCGTCACATGCTCGCTGGTGCCACACGATCTGATTTTATGGAGCATACTTGAGTGGTTCAGAGTGAAAATACAGAATGTGACTTCATGCAGCAATCTGTTGATCATGCTAATTAAAAAAAAACCTCTGAACTTTGTTTTATGCTGCCTTTAGCAGTCTGCATTTTTTCTACAATTTAGTTAATATTTAGAAACTCTTGTACATATCTTTCTGCTTTGATACTCTGTTAGGCACACGTTCACTTTATATCTTGCATATTTTTAGTTTTTGACTGTTATCTAATACTCTGTTGTTTTAAAACTGGGACATGGAGTACAAGTGTTACTGAAGCACACATCAACTACGCTGAATGATTGGAGTATGCATTTTAAATAAATAAACAAAGCCGCACCAACAAGTCTTGGTGATGTGTATCAGACAACACAGTTTGTTTGGATTGCAGGGCTCGAAATAGCTCATGCAGTTGCACAGCAGCATGTGAAATTTGAGCTGTGCACGGGGCTACTTGGTACAGAAAATATGTTGTGCAGAGCTGCCAATTCTCACGCATCAACCATTGACACTTTTTACACACTCTCATGACATGCGTCCAATTTCTCACTCAGTACCAAACTGACAGAGCAACAACTGCACTGTAAAACAATGCGCTCAAGTCAGATGCCACTTGGATTTTGAAGCACATCTATTCGTGCTGTTAGGGTACCCAAACTTGGAGCAGCCCAAAGGATGAAGACCACATTACAGCAATATTCAAATAAGTGTTGCTGAACCAAAAATCCTAGCTGACCAACAGGCATCATTTAGGTCTATCAGTGGACTAGTCTCCTGCATGTTTCTGATATGAATGTAATGATTAAATGATATATTTTGGTGGTTTGAGTTGAAGGTGTGAGAAAGAATAGTATCAGTAACATTGTTAACACTGTGCTACATTACAGAGAAATACAAACCGTACTAATGAACCTTCATTAATAGAGGCCTATATTTTATCTCCAAGTGCACGTCACACACTGAGCGAGCCGCCTGTTAATGACGCTGTGGGCTAATGGGCATGTAGCTACTTCCATGTTTCAGATGATACGTCATGTTTGTAGTCGACCAATGAAGATGAGTTTACATATCACCTTGGGTTCGTCCTTCACCTTCTCAAAATGATCCCACACTTTGGATTTCCTGCCCGACATGTTATTAACCAGCCTGTGGAATAACCGCAGGTACCAGCCCTGGAAATTAACCTGACTCCTGTCTGACTGCTGAGCGTAGACACTTCCTCTGTCTGTCCTTTCAAATTAAAGTCACACATGCTCCAGTCATACAGGTTTGGATTTATTTTGACAAGGTGCAGCTCATAATAGAGTTTCAAGACTTTTTTTTTTTGTTTGTTTTTAAATTGCGACTAAGTGACTCATGAAATCTTGCCGACTAATGACCTTTGTGGTCGACTAACGTTTGGCCGACTATTAGGGGGCAGCCCTAGCTCCTGTGACCATAACAAATGTGAAGAAGTTTAAATGCACAGCACCGAATAGGGAAATTCAGCTCAAATTAAAATGTCCTCGTTTTTACACTCTAATAAATTTAATAGATTTAAGTTTTCCTGCAGAGTTTTCCTGTAATCTTCGATGCAATCCTATTCAGGGTGACTCCAACCATGACCGTGAAAAATCAATTTATTTTACAGTTAGTTATTTCCTGTGCTTTTTTTGAAAAATCAAATAAAAAGGGAAAGTGAACATAAATCACATTTTAACACAAGGACAACTTCCTTACATTTCAAGGTATAATATGTAGTTTTTCCACATAAATGTCTAATAAAGACTAAACCAATATTATATATTTTGTTTAGCTGTGTACTTTGATGATCAGAAATATTTCCAACAATTTTTCAAACCCAGATAAATATGAAATATTAATAAAAGTTACAGACCGTGTCATTAGGTCGCAATGGCGACATAACTCCGTTACCATAGCCATTAAATGAAGGAGAAGAAGAAGAAGCAGACCGGATGAGACGTCAGAGAATGAACGTTACTGTTGCTAGGTTAAGCTAACTCGTCATGGATCATGATTATACACCGACGGTTGCTGCACCTTCTGACACCGAAGCTGTCCCGGTAAACAAGCCGGTAAAACGGAAACATACGGGTCAACCAAGCGATCCCAGAAGAATTTGGGATAAGAAGAAAGCTAAATCAAGGATAAATATTGGTGTGGCCTTTCCGAGATGGAGAGAGCTTCGTGAAAATCTAGGACTACAATTCGACGCCGACCTCGCGTGTGTTCTACTAGACAGGTAAGCAAACATCTGGCTGATGTTATGGAAATATTAATCATTTCCACCAGTGTAATGCAAGCACTGCTGCCCGCCGGGGCACCAGCGCTCCCGCCAGCATCTAACAACATCTAACGATAGGTTTCAATAATGCTGAGCTGATGCCGGTAAATTCACGGAGTGAGGAACGTCAGATCTGTATCTGTTATATGACTACAACTCCCATGATCCCACGCTACTTTGTGACATCATCCAACTCCGTTTTCTGTTATTGTTTTGGTTTGAGACCCCAAGAAGCAGAAAATTACATATTGCACATTTAAACTGCCATAAAGAAGAAAATGACGCAGCAGACGATGTTGGATTTTTTTGGTCGGATGTAGCCAAGAGAGAAGGACAAATACAGCAAATGGTGCAGTGAAATTTTAAAAGCTCCATTCATAGTGCTTTTCACAGAAAATAGTATTTTAGTCCTGGATTGTGAGGTTGACATGCTCTGCAGATCTCTGCACTGAAGCCACACAGTCAGGTTCCTGGACACTGACCAAGCTTTTAGCAATGAGAGTCTAAAAGCACAACCTTACTTAGTGTGTGTGTGTGTGTGTGTCCCCTTCATAAATAAAGGTTTCAGTTTGAATGGCTTCACTTCTGAAGCCATTCAGAGAGAATCCCATTATAAGACTGAAGAGCAAACACCACGATGCATCTCTCCTCTGCTGTGACCCTGATGGCAGCAGCTCATGGGCAGCGCCGCCCTCAGCTTTTCTTACAGCAAACTGAGAGGTCAAGGTCACTGATGATGGAGATGGAAATGTGCTGGCGCTCTCTGGCGAGCCCTTAGGGTCAAGCACAGAGTTGTGACCTCAAAGATGCTCACATGATGATGCCCTTATGATGTACGCTGTGTAGTATGGACACAAACACACGCCATACAGATACATACAACCCTACAAGTGAAGTTTGCTCTTTTAAAACTTGTATTTATGGAGGTGGAGCTCTAACCCTTTTCAGATCCACTCTGACTTGTGTACTCTGCTATTTTTCCTTCCCACTGCTCTGAATTATAGTTCACAGCACTTTATCTGGTTCCCTCCAGTCGGCCCTAATGAACCTCGTTGCTGTGAGACGCCATGGTTACCACTGATCCACCATGTTTAACATAAATAGAGGGAAAAATATTTCCTAATAATACACTCTGATACACCGCCTCCACAAACAAGAGCCTCAAATATTACCAGAGTCAAATCAGCTTGACTGACGACAACAGCTGAACATTTTCAGCTTCCTAATGGTGACATTTATCACAAGACCGCTCAACTGGATGGTGGTTCATTTGAAGGAGTTTTCACACTTGCAAAGTTGAGCATGACGAAATGAACTAATGAAAACAGTGGTGGCTGTTATATTTTAATATGAAGAAAAAATAACTCAACACTGCAACTAACAATTATTTTCATTGTTCACTGATCACTGTACAGTCAGTCCACCACTTTGGTACAGACTGAAATATCTATTGGTTATTGGATGGATTGGCATTAAAATGTGGTGACCAGTGCACTGACGATGAAGTCTTGGTCCAGATAACCACTGGCTACATCAGAATCCGCGAAATATTAGCTGTTACACCCAGAGGCTTAAGTGTCGACAGACTGAAAGCTGATATTCCGAGATTTGTTTTGTGACCAAATACTGCCTCAGCTGTGCTTTGGTAAATATTATACCTGCTGAACGCCAGCATGTAGCATTGCCATAATGAGCGTTAGGCTTGGGCTGTTTCATGGTATTATGGTACACCATGTTATTTAGAAATCCCACGGTATGATTTTCAATATTATCAAAAATACAGACGCTCCTCTTCCGTTTAAACCTATTCAGAGAAGCTGCAATGAGGATGTATTGTGCAT